GCCCCCCTTGCCCCGCCTCTCTGGCTCTGCAATTCAACCTCCTTACTCCTTTGGCCTTATCTATCTCTTCTCTTGCCCTCTTTTCTTTCACTCCCAGGGCTCTTTCCTGTACAGTCACTCGGAATAGCCTTTCCCTTATCTCGATTTTACAGACGATGCAGATCTGTGGCGCTGGACCCTTCGATCAGCATCTCATGTTGGGGGAGCACGAGTTGACCGACCACAGCGAGAGTTTAGGATCCCTAGGGATCTATCCCGGTGCGCTACTGACCCTCAAGGTAAGAGTAATCCTGCTTGTCTACGACTTAATAGGGATGATGCTGTATGTAGCAAAGGCCGGGATGATTCGAAGGCGCGCTCGACAAACGTCCAATGCGAATTCCCATTACATCAACGATGGAAACGAGCATATCTCGGGACTTGGTCGGCCGTTACGGTGGCCTAGAAAAAAAGTTCTCACTGCCAGGGACAAAAAGTTGCCAATAAAGCCCGTTCCGCTGGCCACTTTTCTTGCTCTTGTTGCTCTTGTTTCTGTTGCCGTTGTTGCCGTTGTTGTTGCCGTTCTCGTGGTTTCTGTCGTTGATGCTGCCCGTGCCTACTTACCTGTTCATCCTTCAGGAATCTATTCCTCGGTTGCTACGGCTGGTACAGCTCTGGACCATTCTTCCTTGAGTTTCGATCGGAGACACTTGGCCCGGTAGCTACGCATTCGCGTTAACCCTTTCTCGAGCTGCACGCGGAATGCGCGGGGAGGGGGAGGTTCACACCCTTGTGACAAACAGTCTGCAATTTAGATTTAAGATCAACCAGCTCTCGGAGCATAGAAAGGACAATGGATAAGTTAGTCTGACAATCAGCAATGGCCGCGATAAGGGCAAGAGAGGAGCGGCAACTGTTGTGCGAGACTCTCTCTGGATTAGCCGAGAGGCACCCTCGAGATTAGGAGACTTAATTGGTCTCTTCTCACCAGGAATTCAGAAGGAGCCTAAGATCTTAAGAGACGCATCGGATGTTTTTTCGTTTTCCCAATTTTTCATCCAAATGCTTTTTTTTGTCTCATTTGGAAAACCTATGTGCTTTTTGCCGCCGTTTCCAAATAATCAGGAATTACGTCTCGCTGGGCGCGCGAACCTGCAGCCCGGATTCGTACGTGAGCAAGAAAGAAATCCATTCGCGCGGCAAATAGAATAATTTCAGCATTCCGAGACATTCCTTCGTTCACGGTCGAGCGATTTTATGAAACTAGCTTGGTGCCAGTGGGTTCTCGGCACTCGCTACTTCCCATTGGAGACCGTTAATCTTGACTGAATCTTTGGCCAACGGAGAGAATGGAGAATCAGCTGGAATCTGATTGGGACGATGCAGAAGAATGATACAGCTTCGGCTCCTCTCAATGAAAATCATACGAATTTAAGGATTTATATTTTTACCTTTTTTTTCCATCTTTTTTTTTTTTCTTTCTTTCTTTCACAACTCTTTGGACATTTTTTTCGGTCTTTCTGGACCGCGCGCTCTTCATGGCTGATCGAGCGGAGTCTTTACGTCTTTAGAGTCGCTCGGGCCGGTCACCAACGGGCGGCAGCCGCGTTTGATGTCGTGTGACGAATGTCCACGTTGGACGCGCCTCTCTCTCTCTCTCTCTCTCTCTCTCTCTCTCTCTCTCTCTCTCTTTGCGTCATCTTCCTTTCTCCCTTGTTCTCTCTCATACTTCTTACCTCGCTCTTGCTTCTCCGTTCTGGACTCTCCTCCGGGAATCAAGAATCCTATATTACGGAGTCTCCGCGAGCCTGATGCACCTTCTTCCGCCCCACATATCCCTCTCTCCCTCTCTCCCTCTCTCCCTTCTTTCCATAGAAAATTGTAAAGATCCGAGGGGGCTTTTATACGCGCGACGTAAAACGAACGACGAGACACAAGAGCGAAACACAAATTGGATCACGAGTCCTTGGAAGGAGTATGGAGGTGGTGGTGGTGGTGGTAACCCTTTAATCGTCCACCGCAAGTGGAATATGCAGAGTGAAGCGACCAAGAAATATTACTGTCTCAGTCATGTCCCGCAGTGTGTAGGTGGGAAATGTGAAAAGCGCAGCTTCCACTGGAGCAAGAAGAGTCTGGCCTTTCGAGAGTCCCAGCGACAACAGTAGCGCCAATGAATACTCGGGCCAAGGGAAAAAGTTCGAGCAGCAGTAGCTTCCACGAGTCTTCGTGCCGAAGCGGACGAGGAAAGTCAACTAGAACTGTGTTTACACGAGGAACGGAGCAAAACCAGGATGCTGCGAATCCTGGAGCAGAGCAGCGCGCGCGCGCGCGCGCGTCCTTCGCTCTTTGTTCTTCTTATTCTTCTTATTCTTCTGGAAGACAGTAAACGCGCCCTCTCGTGCAGGTAATGGCGACAATTATCCGCGCCGGTGAACTCGGCATTAAAATCAAATCACTCGTCCCGACGTCCCGACGTCCCGACGTCCCAGGTGCTTCCCACCTCCGAAAACTCTTATCATATTGCATCGCTCATACGCGCTGCTTCCTTCTCTTCCTTCTCTTCCTTCTCTTCCTTCTCTTCCTGTTCTTCTTCCTCTCACAGACAGCGGGAGGAAATATAGTTTTGACGTGAATGCATGGCGAAAGGAAATATGGATTCCGCTATGAATTTTTCCCTGGCGCCAATTCCCAGCTGTGTCCTATATGAGATTCGTCCCCGGCACACGAGATCCTCTCGTATTCCTTGCCTCTTTTTTTCCCTCATCTCTTTAGGCAGGCCTTGTTCTTTTTTTCGGAGGCCGATTCGCGCCTTCCGGGGGCCTAAGTTAATATTAATGGGGATATTTATGACGGGGGGTCAGCGGTCAGTATTTGCCTGGGAGGCTGTACGGCTGCTCACTACCCACCATCACTACTGCAGTGGAGAAGTCCCCCGCAGGCCAGAGTCCCGGAGATTCGGCGCGAGGGGGAGGAGAGCGAAAGAGTATTCGAAAGAGAGCGGTCCAGGATACTCGAGAAGTCTCTGATAAAAGGAAATCTGTAAATGCCATGATTTATGGAAGCTTTCGCCCTTGAGCTCCCTAAACGTTTGAATAAGTTATAGTCCGACGCCGACTGGACGCTCAAGCCCAGTGCGAATACCAATGGACGGTACATTGCAGTTATTTATCGGCGCTAGGAGAGGAAAAAGAGAGGAGAAGAGAAAGTGAGAAGGAGAAGAAGGATCAAGGTGGTGGTGGTGGTGGTGGTGGTGGCGGTGGCGCCCCTGGTGACGTTTCTAGCGTTAATTTCTTTTCTTCGTAGTGCCCAGCGTGGCATCCTGGCCACTTAACGCCATGCCGTCTTCCTGCCAGCACAACTAAGCTTCTGTTTGTTGATGCTAACCTCACTGCAAGCCAACCGGGGGCATTCAGTCAGCATTCAGTCAGCATTCAGTCAGCATTCAGCCAGCCAGCCATTCAACCGTCCTCGGATCAGTCCATCTCTTGTGTTAGGGCTCTTCTGTCTTGGCCACCACTTGGCCACCACTTGGCCACCACTTGGCCGCCGTGAACTCCTTGGCGCAGATGACGCGAAGAGTCTTCCTCATCCTCTTGATCGCGATCGCGATCGGCTACGTAGAGCGAACGTACTCGCCGCCGCTTAGGGACATGTGGTACGGCGAAAGAGGACAGGCGCGCATCTCCCTTATTGCCTGCTGGTGGCTGTGCGTCTCTCTCTCTCTCTCTCTCTCTCTCTGCCGTGTGCACTCGCACCGCTGACTGCAGGCCTCTTTCTATTCGAAGCAGCGTAGAACCCTTTTAAACGCCACAGGTTGCCCCTTGCGAACAAGTGGTAACACGTGCGTGCCTATACCAGCCCTTTACAACCGTCTACGAGTCTTCCCAACTGTCCCTGTCTTTTATATGTCTTTTCGATGCTCTCCTAGATTATTTTTATTGACTCCGACACATGTGTGACTACGCGTAGCCCCATTTATCCAGCACGTATGAGCACGTATCCTCGGGCCTTCCAGAGAGGCCAGCCTCGTCTCCGGAAGCCTCAGAGTATCTCTGCTCCGGGCATGTAGGCGCTAGGCGCAGGACAGTTGAGCACGCACGCATTTATCCTCGAAGGTCGAGGAGTCAGTCGGTGAGTGTTGGGCATCCCCGAGGAGGTGGAGGGGGAGGATTTGTCCCCTAATGTAGTCGCAGGGGGGAGGGGTGGTGCCAGGGTGGATCTTCTTCTTGGCCTCGTAGTAGGCGTCTAGAGAGTGAGTAATGCTCACGACAAACGCAGCCTTGGGGGGCGGAAGGGGCGATGGGCGATGGGCGATGATACCGCTCTGGATAGGGGTTGCTCCAAGATCCCTGCAGATAGGGTGCTAAGCGACACACTAAGGCTACCCCATCGAGCAGCGGTAGGGATGCGAATCGGTCCTGATCTCGTTCCTGCACAGCAATTTGCCATGCTCTCATTTCTACCGCTGCTTCTACAGTCTGAGAGAGAGAGAGAAGCTATCACTCCTTTCTTCATGTATCTTATTCTCCCTTATTATCATTATTCTTCGTCTCGATTTCCTCTCTCTCTCTCTCTCTCTCTCTCTCTCTCTCTCTCTCTCTCTCTCTCCGGCACTGTCTTCAATGGGATACAGCCTCCATGGTGTTTTTTTCTCTTCTTTTTTCTTCAATAACGAATCCTGCTTCGTCTCCGATGGTTTTCATCTAGATCAGGAATGAGAGAATGATTCACGCACGCGTAACTTGGCCCGAGAGCGAGAGAAGAGAGAGAGAGAGAGAGAGAGAGAGAGAGAGCCGGCGGGTGTGTGGCAGTACTGGCTGCTGGTTAATTTTGTAGATCGACGCTACACCATGAAGGCGTCCTTTGTGCCTGGCGGAAGCATGCTTCGCCTCTGATGCTGCGTAGGGCCTTGCTTCCAGGTTTATGCTGGGCCTCGCTCGCTCCTTACACCATAGAGCACAGTCGCTCCGAGAGTCTAGGGGGGCACCACGCACCATGGCTAACGTGCGTGCCGAGGTTCGATCATGTGGAAATGTTACACTGTCATCGACGACGGGCCAGCGCGATGCTCTCGATACCTCCTCCTTGTTCCTTGGCCTCCTTATTCCTTCATCTTCGTCTCCTTCGCCTCCTTCGCCTCCGTCGCCTTCTCTTCTGCCTTTCATTGGCTGCTCTACCTTTCATATGTCAAGACCTTCTTAGTCTCTTATTCATCGTACCGGTAGAGCAAGAGAAGAAGGTTCCCCGACTTCCGTTATCGCGGTCCTCCTATACTCCTCTTCTCCTCTTCTCCCTCGCGCTTCTGCTTCTACAAACTGTCCTTCTCCTGCGCGAACTACGGGACTCGCCTAGTGGTAGATACGGTCCTCTAGGTACTACGGATCTTTAAGAAAAACCATCCGACCTCACCCAGTGTCCAATCGAGCGGAAAACTCATCAGGCGCTTTATACGCGACACCTCGAGGTGTCAGTGACCGCCGAAACACTCCCTCCTCCTCCCCCACCACCACCACCACCACCACCACCCTTCACTCTTCCATCTTCCATGCCTCTTTCACTATTGCTCTTTTCAACTTTTCACCTTTTTGTTGCTCCTTCCCTCGTCTCTTCTGTATTCTGCCCGAGAGAATGTGGCAAGAGCATCTCTAGAGAAAACTCTAATTCTTCCTTCCACGCGGAATTCTCGGAGGCTGCAAAAAATCTCTTTGTTTCTTCTTATTTTTTAGCCGCGAGTAACCGTTAAGTAGTCTTCTCTCGGTACGTGTGGGTCTTCTTATTCTTTGGCCTTCTTCTGCTCCTATTTCTCTCCCTTCGCTTGCCTTCCACCCTGAACAGTATAAAGACGTTCTCGGGACGTTCGGGTCCCTTCTCAGGAATAATTTGAATAATTACCAGGCACTTTTTTCCCTTTTGCATCGGAGATGCTAAACAGCTGTTGTGCCCCGTCCCAGTGGCCATTGCCTGCCGAGAGACAATGCTCGCTCTCCCGGTTCGGGGGGGCCTCCCTCCCTCCCTCTCCTTACTCATTCCTGGGTCGCGTCGTGTTCCTACCTCCGGACTACATGCACGCTCTTAATTGACACGGGCGTGTCCTCCGTGCCAAAACTGTCGATGCATCCCGGACAGACTCCCGTGCGCGATATTACTCTTGACGACGTACACGGTTATTGCCGGGTTCCTCGAGCGGTGCTTGGAGGGCTGCAGGGAGGCTGCAGGGAGGCTGCAGGGAGGCTACAGGGAGGCTGGGTAAGTCTCATGCAATATAGGAGATACGTGCCGGCCTCTTAAATGCGTGCGGAAAAGGGCAGAAGTGACGAAGGTGCCAGAGGGATGGAAATGGGAAGGAGGAGGAGGAGGCAGGGGGTGGGTCGAGAAGCCGCGACAAAACACACGAGTGCCAGCGGGCTGACTCGAGACAACCCCAAGTAATAATTCCTCGGCCGAATTAGCGCCATAAGTCTACTAGGGCTGACAGCACCGTAGACAATATTAATCTACTTTGAATTTATACTCGCCATATTCGCCATCCACGCCGAGAGGACACGCGTTTCCCGCTACCGCAGGACTTTCTCATTCTTTGCCAAAAGTCCTTAGAATCCTTCGCACTCCTTCCCGGCGGCGACCTGTTCCTCCTGGAAGCGAATCGGCCGAGCGAAGCAGCGCGCGACGTTTATTAAGTCCTGCGGCTCGACGCGCGACGTTAACACAGAGAGATTCCTCGAAGCCTCCAAGGATAAGGCACTGTTAAATGAGCCGACGCGAGCCTGGAATAGCTCACGGGAGACGGGAGTCGGGAGTCCTGCGGGAGGATATTTGCCTGCAGGACTCTTCCCCTGCAGGCAGAGGAAGGAGGCGCAATTGAACCCGTGGTAGAAGAGCGGCGGCGGCGGCCGTCCTGAGAGAAATAAGAGGCAGACGGCGCACTTACCGAGAGCAAACGAGTCCATGAAAAATCTGAAAAGGAAGGTGCAGCCTCTCCTCCGTGGACCAGCGAGGCTTTGCGCTTGGGTTTACCTTGGTGCAACTACGCGGCAAATGGAGGAAAAAATTTATGTTAAGGCGAAGACGGCGCAGCTCACTGCCGGGGATTAAGACATTCTCGAACTAATAATTTTGAGCTGGGCTCTGGGATATTTTGTCCATCTCGGCAGAGGATCTCCCGTGGCTTCTTCGGCTCCTCCGGGCTTCCTGGCCTCCTTGGCTCCTCTTGTCCGGCTGCGGCTCCCCTGGCCAGCCGCGCCTCCCGCGCCTCCCACGCCTCCCACGTCACCCAGGTGCCTTCTGCTTCTAGACAACTGGACCGTAGCGGCGTCCAGGACTCTATTCTCGGACAATAGGTGTTAGTCCGAGAGAAGGCAGAGCCCCGAGGTACGCGGTTCGAACCCCGACTCTACAATTATGAGCCATACCACGTCGGGGCGAGCTCATAACGAACTCACTATATTGCTCCCAAGCATTTCAAAAGTGGCCATAGCCCTCCCCTCCCCTCCCCCTCCGCTCACTGCCGCACTCTCGGGCTGCTTATCCTTTTGCCTCCGAGACGAGCTCTCGTCCTTTTCCAGTTCCCACTCTCTCTCTCTCGCTCTCTCGCTCTCTCGTCACTCTCGTCCCGCTACGAGAAGTTCCGGAAAGAAGCAGAATCCATGGAGAAGCCACCCGTTTTGAGAGCAGGCGGGAGCAGTGTGGTGGTGCACTTGCGAGAATTTCACGCGGCCGCACCATTTTCGATCCGTAGCCACTTTGGCAGCGCCTCGCGCGTCGCGCCGTCTCTTGGCTGCCAAATTCTTAATTCTTATTCCACGGTGCTGCGCGCTTATAGCTTATAAGCGCACACGTGGAAGGAATCTTTAGGATTCCATTTGAAAATAAATCACATTGTATAAGACGCACTTGCGCGGTTCGCATAGGTTTAACGTTAAACACGTGAGGTAGCGAGAGAGAGAGAGAGACAGTTGTGTTGGCGAGTACAGAGAGTGAGAGAGAGTGAGTGAGGGGGGGGGGCGGGAGCCGAGCAGCAAGTGGCACCGGCCAGATGTGAATGTGGAGGCGACATGTGCGTCCACGCCATCGGGACGACACTCGCTATATTTAGACCTATGGGAAAAGGGGTTTCGTGCGACGTGATTACGTCGGGTGAGATGGCGAGAGGGGGAGAGAGAGAGAGAGAGAGAGAGAGAGAGAGCCAAGGAATATGATAAAATGAGCATAAGAGAGAAATATCGCATTGGTATTGACTCCCCGTGCTACTCGCGGGGAATCCAAAGCAGCGACGTACTCCATTATACACCGTTCGTCGATTCTCCAGAGGGAACCAAAGAAGAACGAGGAGGAATCGTAAATACATGAAAACCATGAGAAAGAGGATAAGGAGCACGGAGAAGAAGAAGAAGTGGAGGAATGAGAATGAGGTCCGTTCAAAAGGGTTAACGATCGAGAGCGATGACGTAGTGGACAGGGGGCGGGGGAAGGGGGGGAAGGGGCACCGGCACTCCGTCAACCGCTAGTTCAAATATTCACACCCTCGCTCTGTCCTCGTGTGCTTTTTTAATTCCTCCTTCCCTCCCCCGCCCCACGTCCCGGGTCCTGCTGCCCCGAAACCGAGAGTCCGCGAGGCCATCTTTTTTCCGCGTTCTCAAGTTATGGCGGCCCTTTTTGCCCGGAGGCCCCTCGGGCCTACGATTTTTTTATTTCGGGTCAGGGATCATTACGACTCGAAGGAGAGAGAGAGAGAGAGAGAGGGAGGCTGACCCTACTGACGGTCCCATCAGTGTGCTTGTGCTTGTACTTGCACCCACGTATGTCCTGCCTAGAGAAATGACGTGAAGGAATCTAGAATCCTAAAGTGTCATCAACCCCTTTTTACTATTTTTCTTCTCTTCGTACTCCCTTGGCCCTCCTGGTCTTTCTAAAAGCGGTTCATTCTCCAGCTTCTATGGTTATTATAAAAATATTCAATGGTGACCGACGATTCCCTTGCCCATCCTCTAACCCCATCATTGGATTCCACCCCTCGGGCTCCCTCCCTCCCTCCCTCGAAAAATACGTGTGCCTATAGACACACGGTCGCAGGATATCACATATGCGATGTGGAAAGACGCGTGGGAAGACGTTCTAGCAGCCGTCGGCAGCTGTTCACACGTGTCCTCTCTCCGATTCTCTCTCTCTCTCTCTCTCTCTCTCTCTCTCTCTCTCTCTCTCTCTCGCTCTCTCGCTTCTCCTCGTGCGGTATTAACTACGTCCGATGTTCTCTAGGAAAAACAAACAACGATAGTTCATGCCCTCGTTCAGCCCGCAAACGTATAGAGGCGATCCGAAGACGCAGGAAAGGAGACGCGAGAAGAAGCGGCTGCTGGCCCAGTCCCTTCGTAGTGAAAATAATCTTTTTCTTTTTCTTCTTGCAGATCGACACACCTATCGAAGGCGAAGGGGATGCCGAATCCGATTCAGCGAATTACGATGGAATCACGGAAAAAGGATTCAAGGGTAAGTTTATATATTTATATATGAGAAGCGTGATACGCAGGCAATAGAATATCGAGGATAAAGAGAAAAACACCAAGAGAATTCTCTGTCGCGCAACTTTCACGTCTGGCTCGAAATTGCCTGATGCCGGTATATACGTACCTATTGTACATCCCGGTTGAAATTAACGCCACGTATAAGTTATCCCTGTCGTGGAGGAGCGAAACCAATCCACTTAGAGATCCTGGCGTTTTGTTCTCAAACAAAAATCTGACAAATATGCTGCGATTTGCCGAAGAATGGAAGTGAGCGGTCGTGAGGAGGTGGGTGAGGGGGGGT